CTGGCCCTCACGCCCAGGGAGGCTGGTGCAGATGCAGAACCGCTCCAGGATCCACCCCCAATTCCGCTTTCAATTACCCGCCCACAATCCCCCAGAAGTCCACGGGAATGGAGGGCAGAATTGGTCCCGGTATGGATTGTATCCACAAGAGAGCAGAGGTGCTAGAGAAAGACCTAGGTGATTTAGGCCCTCCATGGGAAGCCTCCCCTCCCACTGCCTCATTTCCCCTCCCACTGCCTCAGTTTCCCCTCGCAGCCTTTATCGATCTGGTCTCTTTTAATTGCAAGCTCCTTGTGACAGGGACTGTCTCCCCCCGGGTCCATGCAGGGCCCAGCACAGTGGAGCTTCTAAGTAACGATCCAGTATGTTTCACAGCGCACCGTCCAGCCCAGATTTAAGGGCCGCCCGGGGGAGACTCTTCCACAGTCTCCGAGATCTCCCCGCCAGGATAAGAGTCCAAGCCCCCACCCCCCACCCCCTTCGACATCCTCATTCTGCCCGAGTTCTGTCAGACCTGCCCTGCGCCGGCCCTGCCCCTCCCTCCCGCCAGCACCTGCGGACACAGGTATGGATGCAGTGGAAACCTGAGAGCCAGCAGGGAACGAGGCCAGGTCCCAGGGCAGGGCAATGTACCACCTGCAGGGCTGGCCTCTGATTCGGGCGCTGGGAGGGAACCAAGGAAAGTTATTCGGGGGGGGGGAGACTCCCCCAGCCAGGCTACTGAGTTTCTGCCTGTTTTCAAGCCCCCCCTGACTTTTTCTAAGTTCTCCAGGCCCCTGGCTTCGCACGGAGCTCCTCGCAGCGAAGACGGGGCCGGGACAGGCCATGAACTGAAGAACAGCGGAGATGTGGAGTGGGTACGACCCCAGAGCAGGGAGGGGCAAGAGACAACAGTGCCCAGGCAGCAGAGGGGGAACTGGGGGGAAGAGGACTGGCTGCCTCCTATGCCCTAGGATCCCGCCTCCTCACCACACCTGCCCAGCCCGGTAAGCGTCACAGGAGCGTCAATTCACCCCAAACTGGAGGCAGAGCCCCCCGCCGGCTCATCCAGGCTGCGGAGAGAGCCTGCCACAAGAATATGATGCAAGAAGCTGTTTAAAATCAGCTGCCATTGTCCCTCAATCCTGACCTGCAGCCCCCCCCCCCATCTGAGTCCTGGGCTCCCTCCAGCCCCCAACCCTTCCCGTTGCCCCTCAATCCTGACCTGCAGCCCCCCCCCGCTATCTGAGTCCTGGGCTCCCTCCAGCCCCCAACCCCCAGCTCTTCTGGTGCCCCTCAATCCTGACTCGCAGCCCCCCTGCTACTCCAAACCCAGGCCGCCCCTGCCATTCCCAACACCCAGCTCTGCTGAAGACCCTCAGTCCTGCCCTGCCCCCAGCAGCAAGACGTCAGGGCCTTGGAAAAGCTATTTTGCAATGAAATTCAGGGCAGTCTCCTCCCAGGGACGTCGGAGACGCCTCATTCCCGACCGGAGCCGGACACCAAGCCCAGGTTGAACATTCTGCCCTTCCCAATTCTGCACCAGCCGTACAGAACTCGGCAGCCCCTGCCCCCCTCCCATGAAAACACCCCCCGGATCCAGCAGAGACATACAAGGCCCAACCATCAGCCACCATTCAGGCCTCCGCATTTCAAAGCAATGCTGCCAGCAGGCTTCTAGGGGGCGACGCGCAGCCAGGGGGACTGTTTGACGTCTCATCGCAAGAGACGGAGGCCCAGACCCCTGGCATTTCCCCCACGAGTCAGGGA